CCTAAACCCGCATATGGAGCCCATTGTTGGATGGACTTGCCTTGATGGGAAGCAACAAGGGGCCTGTCTCTGAATAGGGGTTGTCAGCTTTATTGGTTGTTTCCCTTGGATTTTCTTGAGCACAACCTGAACAAGATGAGCAAGGAACCCTAAACCAGGCGGCGCCTTGCCAGGACCAGCTCACGGACGTGCATCGGGTGTCCCTGAGGCAGAGCAAGTTCGCGCCCGCTGCTTGGAAGCACGAAGTTGCCAAGGGGGCTGCCAGGTTGAAGCAAATGGGCCACTTAACGTTCGAATTGTACACGTCAAGGGTGGGAAAAAGCCTCAACTCTGGTTGTCTCCTTTGCGTAGTAAGTCACGAAAGAAGCGCTGCCCTCACCATGAGACACGCTGCACAGGGCGCGACAGGGCGTGCGGGCGCGCGCTGGCAAGTGCTTGAATCAAAATCCTTGACCCTTGCCTTCTGCCAGCAAAGCAGCCGTTTTGCGCCTGGTTGTCGCACATTTCACTGGCACACATCCTGACACGCCAGTGCTGGCTGTCTCCGCGGACGCATCCCGCCGGCACACGCAGCCGTCGCCTCCTTCCTTCCATATGCTACCGGCACGCGCAGCCGTGGGCCAAGTGCCATCCGGCACACGGCCTGCTGCAACCCGTGTCACCTTTGCACGGCTGCCACTGCTCCACCAAACCAAATCTCGGCGCACTCTCGCGTTAGATCCGTCGATCATCGCTCCCTTGCGTTTAGACAACGAAACGGTAACCCAACCCACAGAGTTGTTTGTTTGACAACAGCGCTTTTGTGTCATTTTGCATTTTTTTCTTGGGATACCGATTCTTTACTTTTGTCCTAGGTTGTTTGGAGCAGCCCTGGTTCATGTCAGCTTCGGATGAATCCCGAGAAGCGAGCCAAGAGGGATTCAGGATGAAAGGATCTGTTTGCTCTGCTTAGCACGTTCCTCCCAGATGAATCCCCAAGGTGGCAGCACTTGGCTCCCTTCTCCTTAACTAATTTGCCTTGTTAAAAATCACCCCACCACTCAACACCACTCCAGTAGCCCCTTTGAATCACCTTCGTCCGTTCGATCGCGCAGAGGCACAGGGATCCGGTCACAGGGATCGGGGTCTGGGCCCCTGGTTGGTTGGTTGGTTGGTTGGTTGGTTGGTTGGTTGGTTGGGTGGGTGGGTGGGTGGGTGGTTGGTTGGTTGGTTGGTTGGTTGGTTGGTTGGTGGGCGGAAAGCCAGCCCGAAGAAAAAAGAAAACCACCGCCCTTTCTAGTGTGTTCCTTTTTCTACCGTTGCCGAGGTCACCGACAGCTCCCTGCCGCTGCGCGGCGCCTCGGAGCGGAGCTCCGCCTTTGGGGAGGACTTTGGCTTGGTGGCGCCCTGCACCACGGAGGAGGAGCAGTCCCCGGACCGCGAACTGTCGGAGGCCGAAGATGTCGGGAGCCCCAGGGAGCGCCAGAGATCCGATTTTTGGTCCGCTGAGTGTTTCTCAAAAAGTGAGCCGAGGTCCCAAAAAACACCCACCCGTGTATGACTTAATCCGGGGTTTGATTGGGATCATGGTTGGTGTTGGGAAACAGTTTTTACATTTTTGCTTGTTGTGGTTTATGTGGTGGAAATCCAACCACTGAACTGCTGAAAATTTGAAGTTTTGCTCCTATCACTAAAAAAAGCGCGTGAGAGCACGATGCGACGACTCGTTGTTCGATGGACAAGTAAGGCCCCCCTGCTCTGAGACCTGAGTGCGGAAGTACTGGGGGCCTGCTTGGGCAAGTGGATGGAGCTGTCTCAGAGACCGTACACCCCCCCCCCGGCAAAGACTCCCTCCCCCAACTGTGCAGGCCTCAATTTTGCCTTGTTTTTCCTCATCGAGGCTTGTTAGCCTCTAACCCTTTGGGAGGAGTCTTGGGGGGTGGCTGTAAGGTGTCCTGACTGTTGGCAACATGCCTAACCTCTGTTCAAGAGACGCAAACAGGCCCCCAAGCCGCTGAGAAAGGATAAATACGTATCGAATTCCAAGGCGTGCGTCGAATTCCAAAGCCTGACCCTCTGGAAAATGCAACATGTTGGACACATCACGCATCACCATACCAGGCTGTTACCGAATCTATGTCGAGTTAGACCTACTGGCGCTTGCTTCCGGAAAATGGGAGCAGCGCCGCTTCTGATTTGCGCCCTCCCGATTAGACTTCGGTCCTTCATCGCCTTGGACGGCCTGAGCGAAGGGGAGGGAGCGCCAAGTAGCCGTTTAGATTAATTATTCGATGACGCCTCTCTAGCGAGGTCCCGAATGGGTATCAAATGGGTTCCAGCTTGATCAAGTTTCATGGGGCTTTGAATAAGAATTCATAGAGAAATAATCATGGCGTATCATCCCAGGATCCATTGGAACCCATTCAAGGCCGTAGGCCTGGCGTCAAACCTCCCACTTCTGGCTCCAAATGCAATCGGAGGAGGACATTGGGGGACATGCCCAAAGTTCCCACCAAAACCATGACCATCCAATTTTCCATGTCCTCTCTCTTTGGGGAAAGCTTCGTAGGCATGTGCTCTTGTAGGTTTGCTGAGCAACGATTCCGCGGTTTGTTTCAGACAAGTCTTTTGGGTGTGTCGATCTGGGTAAACCACATAACCCAAAACACCCGAACCATTCAGCCTCTTTCCGGCCTTTCTTGGGCCCAACATAAAGCCAACACGGGTATGTGTCAAACATCGGGGGAGCCCCAAGATGGGTGGTTTCCCTTTGCCTTTTCAACCTCCGATCCTCTCCCCTCCCCTCCCTCCCAAAAACACGCCTAAAGCACTGTTCCCTCCCTCCCAAAAGCACTTGTTTTAGGAGCCATTCTTCAAAGGCTCTATATCTCTGCCTCCCCACGGGAAGGCCCATATTGAGCTTGCTTAAGTTCTACAACCACGTTGGACTGTACGGCCTAACGGTTTGCCAGAATAGTCTGCAACCAGTTGCCCGAGATCGGCTTTCGCATCAATCAAAGGGCTGTATCTGGGAATGTGCAGTCTGAAAACACCTGGGCTCTGCACTTCAATCACCGGCAAGTTTCTGGTTCTCGTTTTGAAGGCGGTTGGGTCAGGCATATAGCTGAGAGCCGGGAGTGGTCGGGGGCGCATTCCCTCCCCCATTTTGCTCAGGTTTCACCGGGGTGGGGCAAAACTTGTTTCAAGAACTTGTCCGTGGCCCCTTAGTGGTTTGAACATGTTCAACTGGGGGTCAGCCCCACCCTGCCAATCAGGAAGGGCAGCAGCACTAGCGTTTTCTGCGTGCTGTGCCGGCAGACCAGTTGAGAGTAATTTGTAGTACTCCCTTTGCACTAAAAGGCCCCAAGACTCCCCGCCCGAGTGTGCATTGGTTATTTTCCACCCAGTGGGGAGCAAACAGTAAGGTCATGATTCTCATGACATTCCCTACAAGAGGAATAGCGACTCGCTCCTAGCCATCGAAACGTACACATGCAAACATGGAACACACTTAGCCACACAAAGTGGTGACTTTCTCTTCCCGTCACTTTCCCGTAGTCGTCATCTTCCTGTAGCGTCGTCTTTCGCCCACTTCACACACTTCGGGGATTGCAGAGACCGCGCTCAAACAGCTCTGTTCCTCGAAGAAGAATGACCAAAGTTTCCAAGCAAAACAGGCACTTGCTCTTGGATTGATGTCCGGACCAGTGCCATTCCATGGTGCTTGTTGGAAAACAGTTTACTTTTTTGCTTATTGTGGTTTGGTGGGAAATCCCCACTTGACTGCTAACATTTGATTTTTTGCCCCCTTCCCACGTCAACCAAGATTCTTTGGCGCAGAGTTCTCAAGTCCAAGAGTGAGCGAACAGGCCGAATTGGAAACGAGGAGGTTCTCACCAACGGGTACTTCGACGTGCAGGTACAACTATCCAACCGGGTCCCAACTTTAGGAACACAGTGATACACATTGACAGGTTTATGACATGATGTGTGTATACCTAACATAGTTATGTATGTATGTATACATATATATATATATTTATATATATACATATATACATATTATATATAGATATGCTCTTCTGTTTTCAGTTTGTTCTTGAAGGTACCGCTCCCCCGGGTTGATTCCCCCTAACCCCGGTTCTGGGAAATCATTTTGGGAAGCGAAAGATCTTTGGAAAGAGGGGGAAGTACAGCAAGGATCTCTTCGTCATGTTGCCATCCACAGAAATCAGAAACAAACACCTGTGCAGTTTTACCCAAGCGAGTCTCCGCCCAGATGAGGTCCGGATGGAGTAGATCTGAGGTTCCCCTGCGTGCGTTCAGGGTTGCGGTGCCGAGTGCTTGCTCGACACCGGTGTTGGAGTGGTTCGCGTTCTTCCAGTTGCTTGAGATATTGCTGTGGGTCAAAGATAGGTACGCAACATGGAACCCTGGCAAATGGACACCTGAACTAAAACCTGCGTCCCCTGGCAGCTTAATGTATCATATATGTGTTGTTTTCGTTCCCCTCTTGGGGCCTTTAAGGGATTTTACTTGTTCTTTTTTTTCCCCCCAGGGGCTTAAGCAAATGGAAGGGTTCCGAAAGTTCCGGAGGAGGGTCCCGGCTGTTGGCAAAGTGGTTTGGAGCACAGGTTTACCGCAGGGTTCATGTGGTTGCTGTTGAGGATACCACCCGGGCTTGTTTCTTCGAAGGGTGAGCCCCGTTTCGATAAAACTTCCACCTCACTTCTGCATCAACCTCATTTCCCCAACCCTCTTTCGACTGGATCCTTGGAACAAGTCTGTGCAGCTGGAAGAATCTCAAGCAAGCAAGTCAAGCACAAACCATAGTGAATTGCATCACAGTCAGAAACATGGTTCGGAAACATTTTTTTTGTGGTTTAGTGGTTGAAATCCAACCACTTACCTGCTAAAAGTTCCCATCGTTGCTCCCCTTCCAACGTCAATGAAAGTGTCAGAAGTGTGTGGCCTTTCCAAGCAGCCATCGGTTTGCTCGGCGATTGGGCTGCCCTCAAAGGAAGGCGTCCCAGGGCGAGCCGGGCGAGCCAGCTCCGAAAGACTTTGGACTTCTCGCCCCGGTGAAAAAGGGGCGAGGGAAGACTTCAGGCTCGCGTGATCCGTGGCTATGAGTTTGGGCGACTTTCCATTTGCAGCCTGGGAGCTTCCAGTTGAAGAATGGTAGACAGGCAAATGGGCCTTGTTGGCTTGGGAAAGTAAAAGGCGGCCCCGAGGCTTCAAGATTGTGGGATCTCCCCATCTTTTTCTCGCCTCTTTGGTGCTATCTGCATGCGTTGGATGACAGCTCACGTTCGGGTTATGGTACGGGGGAAATGGAGCCGCAGCCAGCGCCCGCCGACTTGACCTGAACAGGGTCCAAGGCCTGGTGGGAATGCACCACTCAGACTAGGTCCCCCAGTAGTGCCGTTTCTCACCTTTTTTTTGGTTGGGAGGGTTCCCCTACTAAAATATACAGAAAAAAGAGTACCCTTATTCTAACCTCTCTACTGGAGGACTAGCAAAGCTTTGGCTTTCCCCGACGGGTTGGCTTATTCAGAAGTTGGCCATTCCTTACCGAGAGCAAGCAAGAAAGTTTTGCGCCCATGGCGAACCTAAATCTGATTCGCAACCTGTCAGTGCCAGACAGGCAATTTTGGAAGCCGATCTCACCGACCGATTCGAATGGCTTCCGGTTCAAACGTCGAGGACCGCGCCAAACTCCCGCTTTGACGCCCCCAAAAAAACAGGACCAACCTGAGGTGGAAGTTAAAAGTTCTGGGTTCCTCATGGGTTTGCCATAGGTTTTGCGTGAGTTTCCCTTTGGGTTTCCCACAAGACAGTGGTCAAGACCTTTTGACCATTGACCCAAAGTTCCAGCTTGGCACACCTGAGAGATGAAGAAAGGACACGAACAGCGGCAGCAAAAGCTGGAACAACCGCCTTCGGATCTGGTGCATAGTGCGCCAGATCCGAAGGCAGGCGCATCGAATCATCACTTCCCAAGAGTGAGGTTCAAAGAGGCTCACTTTGGCTCGGGATGGTCTTGGAGCTCCTGGCTGCGGTTTCTTGGGGCTTCTCGTTTTCTCCGTTGGAACTTGCTTAGGGTTTTCTTTGGGAGTCGAAGGGCGTCAGGCCCAGATAACGCCCTCAACACCCGAAGTCAAGAGTGTCGATCACTTCTTGCACGATCGCAACTTCGAGCCCATGAGTGACGATTCCCAGCTTGGCGTTTCGTTGAGAAACGGAAGGCGGGCGTTTTCTGCCCCAACTTATTTTTTGGTTGGAGTCCGCAGGAGAGGATTTTATCCCCGCGCAATCCCCGGAAGCTTGAAGCTTGCAGCATTGGCCAGGCACATGGAGCTCAGTTTCAAGGGTTCTGGAGCCATCAAGCGCCGGCCCCGGTGATGGTGAAGCTTCGAATGGGGGCTCTGGGCTGTCCAGGAGTCGAGTGGCCAAGGTTACGTTTTTTTTTTTTGGGGGGGGGGTTGATCAATTTCCCTTCGGCCCCCAAATGACCATGGGTCACTTTTCCTCTTTAAAGGTTGACATATCCATCTTTTTGTCTACGACCAATGGTCGTCCGCAAAGGACCTTTTGATCAACCATATTTCTTGTTTGGCTTTTTCAAGGGGGTTGGATTTCCGTGGCTTTCCTTGATTTGTTTTCTCTCCGGGCGAAGTATTGGCTGAACCCTGTTCCATTGGCTTCTCCCGGGCAAGTTGGTGCTGAAACGCAGAGCTGGGCAGGTTCGTTCCAAAGGAGACCCCTCGCTCCTTTTCATGGTTGGTGGGAGAGACTATCCAAAGCCGAACCAAGCATAGTTTCATGTGTGGCATACCACCCACACAGGGAACGACATTCAGAGTATGCCCAGAAGAGTTAATGAGGAGGTTTGGGAACTGGTGGAATTGCAAAAGTGCAGTTTCGGTAGAACCCAGAGTCTTGTGAAACAACCTCTACCATGTACAAAGGGGTTGTTCCCAAACTGAACCCCATTCCCTTTCCAGACTCCGGGCTTTCAGCCTAGGTCCTTCAAGCTGTCAGGGGTGGAGGCAACTCTCAGCGTGGGTGAGCTGAAGAAGAAGTGCCAAGAGGCCGGCGTCAGGGCAACCGTGACCGTTTTTCGTTTCTTGGCAAAAGGACCCCCCAACACTTTTTGGAATAGAAAGGGACCCTGAGACTTCATGGAGCCCCCGCCTCCCTCCCGCCACTTTCTGACAAGGCAGCAAAACGAACGTGAACCCCTGGGAAACCGCTGAAAGTGTACAGGTTCATGAATTCGGGCGACTTTTGTTGACTGTTTCCTTTTTGCCAGTGAACACCCGTGCGAGCGGTACCCTTTTTTTCAATCCGGCGTACCATTCTTGTCGACTGTTTCTCTTTGTCAGGAGGAACAAGGCAACTCCCGTATTTGCATCCCAAATCGTGGAGATGGGGCCATTTGGGGCCCCCACATGGAGTATTGATCAAGCCCCACCAGTGAAGCCCTCCCTGTTTGCCCCATGAACACCACTTCGACGC